CAAGCAAGTAGAAGTCCAGAATGGTTAACCCAGCTAACGTTCCTTTCTATGCTGTTCTCAACATTCATACCATGTTACTTTGAAAGCAAATACTTAGGTTGATATGATGATACAGAAAATTACAGGATGCTTTAATAAATGGTAATTTTTGATACAGTTGAGTTGATTGATTCAATAAAAGTTGATTAACATATTTTCATTGCTGCTATTATATAATTACATTGCATGACTGTACTCTCTAAGCCACTACAATAGGTTTCCTTATTTTCAAATTTTTGTTTATCCATTTTTAAATGAAAATTGTGTATATTCAGGTCCATTAAGTGACCGAAAAGTTGCTGAAGTTAAATCAAGTGCATGGGTACATGGCTTGGGTTTTCACGATTAATTAACACTGCTTTGAGAAGTTGGCAAGAGTTGTTTTTGGTACCTCACTGCAACTACTTTTTACCAAAAATATTGAATGCCAACTGCTTTCAACTTTAAAAATCTTAAAACCGAAGATTGGCATTCAAACTTGAGAACGCATCTACCCAATAAGCCTGACTCTTGGCAAATTAGGTTAACATCTGTGGGGAAAAGCCCTAAGGCCACTTCCTTCTTCACTTTTGAAATAGTACACTAATGGCCCTAACTACTCCATCTTAGTGGATATATATTATTGCACTAGGACAACTTGACTTTCCCTATATATGTTGATATTTCAGACTTGAATTGAGCATAGAGTTAAACCATTAGAACTAGGATGGGGAAAATGATTAAAAGCTTACAAATGCTCTTTGCCTGCATTTTTATGTTATTTATCTTTGGAAACTCTGCTACAATAGACAGTATCACTCCGGGCCAATCCATCAGAGATGGTCAGACTTTAGTTTCAGCTGGTGAAGTTTTTGAAATGGGATTTTTCAGTCCAGACAATTCAAAAAGCCGATACTTGGGAACATGGTACAACAATGTTTCTCCTAGGACGGTTGTGTGGGTAGCCAACAGGGAAGCTCCACTAATCAATCATTTTGGAGTTTTAAATGTCACTCATGAAGGTACTCTTGTCTTGCTTGATGAAAGAAATAGCAGTGTTTGGTCATCCAATAAATCAAGAACTGCTCAAAATCCAGTTTTGCAGCTCTTGGATTCTGGAAATCTTGTTGTGAAAGATGGAAATGACACCGACTCAGAGAAGGCTTTGTGGCAGAGTTTTGATTATCCTTGTGACACCTTGCTACCTGGCATGAAGCTTGGGAAGAATTTTGTTACCGGTCAGGTTAGATCTCTATCAACTTGGAAGAGCCCAAATAATCCTTCT